GGAAAGAAGAGGTCGCTTGCTGGGCTGAGGCGAAGGGGGGAAAAAAGTTGGCTCGACGATCCTGCACGGCGATTGGCTGTCGGCGCGGCGAGGCAACAGGCAACAAAGACCGTGGCCAACACCAAGTAGTGTTTCTTGTCCGATGCTAGGGGTTTCGTTTCCCTGAGGATGTGGGCAAGAAGTCTCGCAAAAGGGAAGGTTGGGAGGGAGAAAAGGAGCTTATGTATAAATTATATATCGGCGGCAGAAGGAAAAATTAAGCATAAATCATTGGTATGATTTTTGGTCGCGGGGAGAGGAGGGAAAAGAAAAAGGAAAAGGGAAAAGAAAGAGATAAATCGAGTGAACGATATAAATGGAGCAAATGACCACTCTCAAGGTGAAATCGTCGGGGATGTAATCCGCAGTGTTATAATACGGAACGAAGGTAAAAAAAAACTCTCTTCCGATAGCTTAAACTCTCCCTTGAAGCTTGGTCGCGGAAACTTGACGTTAGCGAAGCTGCAGAGTGGGGTTTAACAGCCCGGCTCTCACTTCAATAGGATTGCCAGGGGGAGTCAAGCTCGAGGTGAAGATGGTGAGATGCTGCTTGATAACAGTGCGCAGCGCAGGCGTGCGAGAAGTGCATGTATATGTAGATCGCGATTCATCGAACGTGAGATGCAGAAGCGAGTCTATTTGGCGGTTGGATGCTGGGTGGATGCCTTCCTGTGGGTCATATGCTCCAAGAGATGGAGAGGTTTTGATATGTAAGGAAGCGTAATAAAAAAAAGAGGTTGTTCGGCTTGTTCGTTTTAGGCGGTACCGCGGAGATTCTGGTTCTCTCTGTCTGACGGTATGTCACTCCCTATCTCTGGGTGGGTTTGCCGGCTTGCCTGCCTGCCTTTCTCTGCTGGCTCTCTAGTGTTGGCTTTCTGTCTCTCCCTGCAACACCGAAAGGAGAACGGATCCTGAGTAATTTATCGTCATGGCAGAGGGATAGTCTAACGTTTCCGACGAATGAGCTAGGGATCGCACGGATTCAAACACCTAAAAAAAAATACCAGATGGGTAGCACAAGAGAAGATTAAAAAAAAGAGAGCGAGGGAGGGAGGGAGGGCGAAGAAGAAAAAAAGTGGGTATTTTAGGGGCAGAAGGGAGAAGGGGTGTGGACGAAAGCAAGCTCAGATGCAGGATTGTGATCCGGTGGCCGGCATCCATGTTTGGACAGGAAAAGCGGGCTTGAGTTCAAGTCTATGGAGACTCTGTATGCAGCCGAGAGCACCTAAATCGAGCCTAAGGCTTGGTTAGGCTAAGGCTGAAATGGTGGCAGAGCCCATTGTTGTGGTGGGCGGTCGAGGGAGAAAAAGGAAGCCTGGCGAGAGTGGAAAAAGCAAAAGGCCAAATCCCACTGGCCAGAGGTGGTCCATTCGAGGGTCAGGTCTGGAGTAGTACAGGCAAGGGTAGTAGTGGAGTACCACTAGTCGCCCAAAATTGGTAGACCATTGACGCTCAATTCGGAATGCCCAAAAGCCCCATCCACAGTATCGAAATATAATACACGGAGGGCACGGAGCTTTTAGCGTAATGTAGCAGTCAGGGGGGGAGGGGGAGGGAGGTCCTGGGACAATCGATGATCAAGGGACGTGTTTTCCACCCTCTCTCACTTCCCCATGTCCTCTAGCTGTCTCTGGGCTCTTGTTGGGTTAGGCCATGCACTGTTCATGAGGATGACAGACAGGTTCATCCCCCGAAACCAAGTGTTCTCCCTCGCCATGCCTTGCTTCCGAGGGTAGGGAAGCCAAATGGTGACAGGCGATCGGCACAGCGACCAGACCAAAGAAGCCTATCTGTTCGCCGTCGAGAAAGCGGAGCAGGCGTTATAGTTGCACGCCGAGAAATACGGCACAATTTCAGAGAATGAGAGGTGAACTCTCCATCAAAACACGGTCAGCCGACAACCAAAGCCAAGAACTGCCTTGGCTCTTTGAAACTTCACCCACCCCCAGGTCTAGCTCCTTCGAGTGATGGATGGACAGCCCAACCTTGGTTCCCGTCCAGAGCGTGCTGATTATCTGGCAAATTCTCGATCGATACCGTAGCAGAGTTAGCATTTCGTGAGAGCCACGGCAATTCAATCAATCATATCAATCCTGCCTCTGGAGACCGACTGATGGGGGTACGCAACCCTGTCCACTTTGGATGGGCCACCGGTTACGGAGTACATCCTTAGTGCGTACCCCAATCGTGAGTGCGTACAGAGTACGATGACACCCTCCCATCCATACATAAAATAGGTAGTACTCCGTCGTGTCTTCGTCCCGTACGCTGTCAGGTTGTTGGTAGCGCACCTCCCCCTTGACCTCTCATTATTATTTAGGTTATGTACCGTAACTCCGGGCTATGGAGTCGCTCATTGTTCAAAAGTGGCGAGCTCCCAGACTATTGTTTGCTAGCTGCTGATTGTTGGGCCAGGGTGGCTGACGCCTGATTGGAGAGCCTGCCCGCCCACCCATCTCCTCCAACTGTCGCTTTCTCACTTGTCCCCAGACCAGCAACTGCTCTTATTGGCCTGACGTCCGTAAAGATCCGGCAGAGGCACGAGACCTGCCGCCAATCGCGGAAGATTTCAAGAACATCCGGCCTGAGGAGAGGCATTTTTATTATTTTTCGTTCTTTTGCTCCGCTAAGCGCTGCAAGGGTTGGTGCGTACGGTCCCAAATGACGGGAATTCATGTGGGTCGTTATCCCTGGGAAATGGACGAGAAACGGATGGGATGAAATCGTGGTGGCCGGATCGAGGCTGATATACGGAGTATCAATAAGGCTAGTCATCAACTGTGGCTCAGCCGGCTGAACCACTGCCACGTACCCTCTTTTCTCGATCTCCCACGCCCATCTGATACGTCTCACCAGCGCCGGCGCCCAGCGTGTCGAGGTTGGTTGACGTTTGGAGGCGGACGTCGAAAGGGCGTGACGTCGGATCTTTTGTATCAGGCGAGGAAGAAGCTCGTGAGCTTTCCTCTTTCGGCGGCTGAGGTAAGCCGATGACGCAGGCGATTGGCTCCTGGCGGCGCATTTTGATTGGCCGATAAAGGTTCTCTGCGGTCGCAGCTGGCCAATGAAAAACGGCAAATGGCTGAGCTAACGAGGAAAGGTAACGTAACTAAACCCAAAGCGGGTCACGACAACCGGGCTGCGACCACCCGGACCGAAAGCGACTTCGACTTTTCTCAACGTCAACTTTTCTTCTTCAGCGTTTTGCGAGCTCCCATCTCCACTGCGGATGCTATTTTAATCTTGATACTCCATCGATGAGATGCATGAAATCTTCAGAAAAAGGACTCTTAGAACGTCGAAAAACTGTATGTATCGGCTTGTTTTCAGCACAGGCACTCCCGGCAAAAGGGAAAGCCGATCGGTGGCTTGTCCAGGCGGAGCCCCTCATCGTGGATTCAAACAGCCAATATCAGCGTCCTACCGGCAACAGAAACGGTGTAGCCTCAAGTTGGATTTACAATGAGAATCAAAAATTTGCTTTTAGTATGTCTGCTTTTCCTAGCTGACGTCTCGGCTCCCTCTCCCTTGGGATCCCATGTGGAGCGGCGATATCTGTATGTAAGTTGTGCATAAGGTATATCTGGGAAAGGCTGAAGGAAAAGTAAACATCATCCTGAAACCCGAGGCGTTTCTGCAGTTTTCCCTTTCTCGCCAGGCAGGAGGCATTAAACCGAAAAACAAACGCCCCTACAGTCCGATGTCTAAGGGCGAACAGTACATCTTGTGCTCGAATATTGATGAACATGATGACGTACGGAGAACACCAGGGGCCTTTCAGAGCTTGCATGCCACGCGACTCGCAACACGAAGTGTTCTCTACGTGGGTGAATATTTATCCAAGTATGAAAGGCGGAAGGAAAATTATGATAAATATACATTCATACGGCAGGCATGAATTCAATATCAACTGACAGCCGCCACCCCAACCTGAGAATTCGTGTTGTTTCCCTGGGTTATACTCCGCAAGGATAGTTGAAAACTTCTCCATGGCCAGCTTCCTACTACTTACAACCAGCCCTCCTGCTTCAAGGTTATGAGAGCGAGTTGACCGTGTTGAACAGCCGACCACTCCTCACTCTGTAGAGCAGACGTCATGGATCGACCTATGCAGCTTGAGGTACAAGCAGAGTACGTTTCTTTTCTACATATCGTCTCAACATATAGGGAGGGGCCAATGCTTCCTACTCTATCCTTGGATATCAGCGAAGAAGAGGCTAAACATTCAACATCTGGAAAAAGTAGCCGCCAACTTCTCGGACCCCTATTTAGCTCCCGACTAACCTTGATCACGGAACGTGGCAGCAAAAAGAAATAAACTACAACGACTGAAAAGAAAAGAGAGAAAAGAAAACAAACCAAGAGGGGAAAAAAAAAAAAAAGGAAAAAGGAAAAAGGAATGGGAGGCGGCAAAAGAAAACAACGAAAATATGCAAGGCTAAATCG